TCTGAGACGAACGATAAAACTTGATATTTATTCCAGTGACTCTCGGTTAAATGGTCGGATGACGTGTTCTGTTGTTTTAATAATCTGCATGGCTGTAGCGCCCCCGTCAGGCCACAATCAAGATCTTATCAACATGTATTCATACATCTGCTGAAGTGAAGCGTTCTCACTGAAAACTCAAGTTGTTGTCTCTAAATAATCAATTCATTGTTACTTATCCAGTCAGATTATGTTTCTCCTTCTGAATTGCAAAATATTCAGTTGAATCGTAGCAACAAGTTGGATTAAATTAAATATATTTGTTAGAATAAATCCTGTAGGTGACCAGTTAAATCCTGCTTTTATTCACTGGAGTTCAAACTGTGCAAACAGGCGTGACACCGTCTGCTTAAAAACATAAAATAAAGCTAAAATATTAGATTTTTCATCTTCGTTTAACCCATCGGTTCATATTTGAGCAGCCTGAACGTTAACTAGAGAAATGGCTTTACCTGCGACAATGCTGTGTGAATGCTTATTGCTGAAAAACAGCTGAAATAAGCTAAAAACATGCTGAAATGTAGCTGAAATGGAAGAACAAGTCTAAGTTGGGAGAAGAGCAGAAAGAACACATATTTGCTTAATTAAGTTTAAATAAACAGAGATGAGCACAAAAATCAATTGGCCAAAAAAAAGCTGAAATTAGCAACAAAAATAGAAAAGTAGCTGAAAGGATGAAAGAAGCTTAAACTATCAGGAGGACAGAGCTGAAATGTGCTAAAATAATGTGGAATTACCTGAAAAAGCTAAATTTAGCACAAACAACTAAATAGCTGAAATAGTAGAAAAGGCTGAAACTTGCACAAAAAAGCTGAAAGTCGCAGAAATTACCACAAAAAACTTGAATTTTTCTGAAAACAGCTGAAATTAGCTTAAAATGCTTAAAAAGGTAGCTGAAAAGGTAAAAACAAGTGTAAATTAGAAGAAGAAAGCAAAAAGAAGACGTTTGCCCAGTTCGGCTTAATGAAGTGCACAAAAGTGGAAATTATCTGAAAAAAGATTAAATAAGCAAAAAAAAAAACTGCTGAAAAGTAGCTAAAAGGGCAGAAAGAAGCTTAAATCACCAGAAGGAAGTGGAGAGAGCACATTTTTGCTGCAATAAGCTGAAAAAAGTTGAAACAGTTGTAAATAAATGTGGAATTAGCCGACAAAGCTTAAATTAGTATAAAAACAGCTAAATAGTAGCTGAAATAGCAGAAAAAATTAAACTTGTAGAATTAATCTGAAAGGAACAAAACAAGCTGAAATTAGCAGAAACAAGTTAGAAGAGGCACAAAAATGTTGTAGTTAGTAGAAAGCACAAAACAGCTGAAATTAGCTGAAAGTAGCTGAAAAAAGTTTAAATTTACAGAAAGAAGCTGAAGCAGAACAAAAAGGGAAAGGAGCAGTAAAATGTTGTAGTTAGTAGAAAGCACAAAACGGCTGAAATTAGCTGAAAGTAGCTGAAAAAAGTTTAAATTTACAGAAAGAAGCTGAAGCAGAACAAAAAGGGAAAGGAGCAGTAAAATGTTGTGAACACATCTGAAGATTTGAAGGATGGAAAATGAGCTCAGTTCATTTTTATAAGGAAAAAAAAAACGTGTCAGAAAAGGCTAAATGTTTCAAAAAGCTAAAGCTGCAGCAATACTTAAAGTCACAGCAGGATTGTCCTGAAAGAGCCGAACGTTTTGATTTATGATATGCTGAAATATCACAAAAACTGTGGAACGAGAGAGATGCTGTACAGAAGACAAATGGACGACGGTGAGAATGTTTCATAAACGTTCAGTTTGTTCCAGATGTGGCTCTAATCATCATCGGACTGTAGCGGTAAACGACGTCTCGCGGTGGAAAAACACGTGAATTAACCCGGCGGAGTGTAACGTTATTAACTGTCCTCCCACTATTTCCTGACATGGACTGAAAGGAGAGGTTTGGTCTCCTTGTGTAAATAAACGTTCCTTCAAGCCTTTGGGAAGCTCACGTTGTGGTTTAACAGCCAAGTGTTTGAAATTCAGCTCACTTTAGTTAAACTCTACATTTTATTCCCCTGCGGCCATCAAACAGGTTTGTTAGTTCCAGTGGAACAGAAGAGATGTTTTTTTTTTCAGGATTATTTGTTCCTCTCCCAGTCTTTCACCGGCTGTTTGCTCTCGGCTCTCTGTTCTGCTTCCAGCCTCGGTTTGGACTTCACCCAGAACCCCACCATGCTGACCGGCTCCTGGAACGAGTACTCCAGCTTCCCAGAGAATTACCTAAAAGGCTGCAAATGGTAAACTCGTTTTAACATGAAACGAGACTCAAATACACAAAAACGAACGTGATTCAAAGCAGGAACTCCTAAAGTCGTTGGTCCAGTTCTTCACACGTGTTTTTAAATTTATTAGTCAAAATATATCCCTCTGGTTTTTTTACCAGTCGGAGTTAAACTACAGAGAGTACAAGTGAAATACAACTAGAGAAATTGCATTTCCTGCAAAAATGCAGTATGAATGCCTTTGCTGAAGAACTTGCTGAAAAACAGCTGAAATTCACTGTAAAAAAAAACATGCTGAAATGTAGCTGAAATGAAAGAACAAGCCTAAATTAGCAGAAGAAAGCAGAAAGCACACACATTTGCTGAATTAGGGTTAAATGAGTAGAAATGAGCACAAAAATGAGTTAATTAGCTTAAAAAAAGCTGAATTAGCAAAAAAAAAAAAAAAAGCTGAAAAGTAAGAAAAAAGTCTAAGTTACTAGAAAGAAGTGGAGCGAACACAGTTGTGCCCATTTAGGCTGAAAGAAGCAGAAATGAGCATAAAGTGGACATTATCTGGAAAAAAAGAAATATGGAAAAAAAAAACAGCTGAATAGTAGCTAAAAAAAAAAAAGCAGAAAGAAGCTAAATTTCCCAGAAGCAAATGGAGAGCACATTTTTGCTGAACTGGGCTGAAAACTGCTCAAATGAGTGCGAAAACTGAAATTAGCTGAAAAGGCTAAAATTAGCATACCGGTAAAACAGCTAAATACTAGCTGAAATAGCTGTAGCTTACAGAACCGCAAGCTGAAATTAGTAGAAAGAAGTTAGAAGAAGCGCAAAAATATTGTAGTTAAAAGAAGGAACCTGAAAGGAGCACAAAACAGCTGATATCAGCTGAAAGTAGCTGAGTTTTTTTTTTTTTTGTTTATTTTAATTTGCAGAAGGAAGCTGAAAGGAGAGCAAAATGTGAAAGGAGCAGTAAAAGGTTGTAAACAGATCTAAAGATATGAAGGATGTAAAATGAGCTCAATAAATTTTCTGTGAGAGAAAAGTGGCAGAAAAGGCTAAATATTTCAAAAAGCTAAAGTTGCACCAATACCTAAAGTCACAGCAGGATTGTCCTGAAAGAGCTGAACGTTTTGATTTATGATTTGTTGAAATAGCGCAAAAATATCGGGCGACGAGAATCGCGCCGAAAAACGTTCAGAAGATAAAAGGATCCCAACAGAGTGAAAGCTTCATAAACGTTCACTCTTCTCAGAATCGGTCACATTTCAACAAACGTGTTCGTGTGACGCGCTCTCTGTTCTCAGTCGGCTGTGAGTCCATCGTCATTGTTCGTCTCCACTTAGGGCCCCCGACGGTTCCTGCGTCCTGACCAACAGTGCGGACAACGTGCTCCGTGTGTACAACCTGGCCCCTGAGATCTACAGCTACAACTGGGACGTTCTTCCTGAGATGGTGAGCTTCTTGTTAGAGCTTCGTCCTGGTGGAGGAGAACCACCAGATCGGAGAAAAATAAAACTATTTGGGCTCATTAGAGGCAATTCAGTAAAAACTGAAGCGCTGCCTTTGACTTCAGTGTTTCTCCTGCCATTATACAAGCAGGGCGCCCCACCCTGCCAGAAGAACCGAGCGCCCTGTTCTTCTTCTTCTTTTGGCTTTTCCCTCTTCAGGGGTCACCACGGCAAGTCCTCCTCCATCGTCCTCTGTCCTCACTCCAACTAAAGTAGTCCCTCGTTTATCACGGGGGATCCGTACCCTGAAGCCCCGCGATAAGTGAAACACCGCAAAGTCTGAATAGTAGTACAAGTAGTAGTTTATATATATATATAAAGGTGTTTTAAAGTTTTAAAATCCTTCCCACACTCTTGCAATATTCTAAACAATGTTTTTAACTCTAAACGCTCTAAAAGACAGAATGTCATGATTTCAGCTCTCTGCCTCCGCTGCTCTCAGCCACCTGCAAGCGCTCTTGGCCACGCCCACTCCTCCGCTCTGCACGCAGAACAGCTGATCAGCTGCAGCAGGAAGTTTATCTTGTAGTTTGGGCTGCACAGAGGTATAGCAGATGCTAAATAATTTAAAATTATTTATTTTAA